AGCTCTGGCTAACTCAAGGGTGCTAACAGCCATTTCAGTGTGAATTCACGTGTTTTCTGTGGTGAACTTGTGTCACCAGTGCATTTTGAGGCACGGCTGGGAAGTTGGGCCAATTAGAAAGTGCAACTCAGCACACAGCTCTTTATCAAACAAACAAACTTAGCTGCAAACCCATGCACTCCTCTAGTGCATAATGACCCCTGTACCTGGGGTATCCCCAAACCATCCCAGCCCATGCCTTCTCCTCCCTCCCCTTGCCAGGCTGGCTGAAAAAGCAATTACCAAGAGCACAGAACGCCCAGCACACACACAGCCCTAAAAGCACAACATCACCACAGATAATAAATTCTGTTCCACAGCCTCTCCCATGAAGAGTGTTCAAGTGATGATTAACCAACAAGCCAAGTGCTCAGCTGCAATCTCAGCCCATTCTGAACAGCTTTTGCTCAAGGCACACTAGGGCAGAGGATTAAAAAGCCCCTCCCAAACGGATTAAAAACCCCTTTAAATGACCATCTCCCAGGTCATTATGGCAATAAATACATATCTATATACACACATATATATTACATGTATAAAGAAAGGGGAAAAAAGCCCTCAGACAATCCCTCTCTAGAGGATTACTTCAACACTTTTGACTTCAGAGAGATTGAAACTGATTCTCCTAAGCAAGCAGCTTTAACCCAAATCAGAACTCACCTCTTCACCAATCAGAAAGAAGCTTTTTCAGAAACTTATACTTCATAATAGTTATATGGGCCTTAATCCTCTTGGAAACAGTTTTAAGTCATTATTCCAGGAGTTATTAGGTTGGAAAACAGCTTCTAGGCAAATGATGCTATTCACAAACCTTTTACACCAGAAATAATGGTTGGATTATTTCTGCCTCAAAAGTAGTCTTGAGGTCTGGTTTCTGATTTTCTTTATATCTGATGCTCCTGAGGACAAAAAAAAAAAAGAAAAATAAAGCAAACACAGCCCCACTTGTACATTCCAATAATAATAGAAATTTTAAATATGTAGAACTAATTTTATAAGGATGATAGTGGCAGCAATGAGAGCAAGTTTGAATTATAAGCAGAAGTAAAAAATAAAAAACTTTAAAAAATTAAAAATTAAAAAATAAAAAATTCTGGCTTCCAGTGCAGTACCTCTTACCCCAGATAGGTTCCTTCTTGTCTTAAAAAAAAAAATACCACTGTCTATCATATGAATTTTCAGTAAGAAGAGAATTCAGCCCTAAAGGTGTTTTATTTCCAAAATGCTTTCCTGAGCAGTTGCCTACTTCTCCATTTTATAATAAAGTCAAATGTACCAACACTAAAAAGCACCAAAAAACCACCAAATAACCATCACCCCCTTAAAGATACAATGCCAAGTCCAAACCATATCAATTCATCTGTGCTGTACTGCAAATTTGGATTTCTTCAAGCAGATCAAATACTGACATTTCCATGGCAATTTTTGCCTGAATAACAACTTCAGGATTTACTCCATCACTTTTCCATGTAGCCGTATATGCATGTGAAGTACCAATAATCTTCCTTTTTTCAAAGAAAATAATTGAACTATTAACTTTAACACCTACCCGGTTAAAACCAGTTATTAGTAATTTTTCACCCATTAATTTTACCTCAAAGATGAATTTCTATTCTTTGCTGAAAAGGGGGTCATAGTGGAAGATAGAACTCCAACAGCACAAAAAGAGCAGCAGCATCTCTGACTAAATTCTTCACTGGAGCAGTGATATCACTTGGCCAAAGGATTATGTGGCATCACTTTCTGAAGTGTATTAAGAATGTATTAATTTGCCTATATAACAAATTCATCATCATTGCTCAGGAGAAATCCCTAAACCTACAGCAAAGGCCTTCTGAGGTAAACTAAAGCTAAGGAGACATAAGGTAATTAAAATAAAAGAAAAGAATCGTTGCATTTGTTCTCTTTAGTTATATTATGAATAAAACCCCAAAACTAATGTAATAATGTATCCCAGCAGTTCAAATCTTCTAATTTATGTAGAATGGATTATTACTTAGACAATCTGACCCTGGGCAAAACTTCCTCAGTTGAGAAGATTTACAATCTAATTATGCAGGAAGTTCTGCTGAGACAGTTTGGGTGCAATGGCCTTCTATTGCATTAGCTTAGCTAAAATTGCTGCTCCTTCACTGGCTTGGGCTTCCAAGTGCTCAGATGAAAACAGAAAATGCTCCCTTCGTGTCCTTCCTTTCCCTTTAGCCTTTCTCAGCATTTCTGTGTGCACAGGCACTGCTCTGCACCGCACACAGCACAGAGGGGCTGGGCCGCAAAATCCAGCTCCAAGTTGCCTTTCGGGCTTTTGCTTTGGCCCCTGCTCAGTGAAATGACTTCAAAAAGGACCATCAAAGTGCTTCCCATAATTTTTACAATGATAGTTGCTGGGTTGTTTCTCCCCTCCCCTATTGCAAATGCCCCTGAAAAAAGCCTGGAGCTGAAGTCTGTTCCTGTACACTTGTTTCTTCATCCTGCACACACAAAACTAGTTTATTTTTGTAGGGTGGCTCAGAGATGTTTTGCTGCTGTCTCAGACACCTGAATATTTTTAGCAATCTATATCATTAGATTAAAATAAAAAAAAAAGTTCCTCGACACATACAGAAATAGCAAGAGCTTTGCAAGCCTGCAGAGGAAATGATGGGAAATTTGGGGCTAACAGAATTGGAAGTGTCTTTTCTCCTGTAGCTGTTTTACAGTGTATCCATACAGCTGAACATACAGACACGTCCTCCAATAACACAGACAGAGAAATCAGTGCCTTTCTTTCTTTACAGGAAGTGTTTTGATTTCAAAAGGTCAGCGGATCATATCACAGCCTCTGACCTTGATGATTATCATGTGCAGTAATGCACATTTTTATCTACAGGTGGCAGACCTTTGAAAATCAGCTTCAAATTCATTAGACATTTTTGTTGATACCACCGCCCACATTCAAAAGTAAGAATCTGCAGCATAAAGTTCTAATTAATGCTGTTCAATTTAGAGGACAGATTTGTCAACAAAGTGGCTCAATTCTCAAAGGCTAGTGACCCCTCTCAGAATGAGGCCTTAAAAAAAGAAAAATAATTTTAAAAAATTAGTTGCTCAGTACATAGCAAGCTTTTATTATTTTAAAATCATTCAGCAACTCAGCAAAAGATTTTTTTCTGTATAATAGGAGTTTCACTTCCTTGATTATTAAGCACTGCCTGGCAAATTAGTGATTTCTTCTTTGATAAGCTTATTTAGAAGAGGAAAAGATGAGAATGTCACAACTGACTTCTGGCATTTAGAAAGATATAAGTGAATGGTACAACTTCTCCAGATCTGAATCAATCATGTTAAAATACCATGACTTAAGCTGTCATCTCAGATGTGTGTCTAAGGCCTTACCACCAAGCAGAAAAACATCGATTTACACCATAATATTATCAATCATTCACATAATACTGCATTCAAATTTAATTAGAATTTTTTTTTCTTCTGAAAAACAACAGCAGCATAGCCCTCTGCATGTGGACAGAACCCTACAGAAATCAAGCAGGCTGTCTCTGGGTTTTAGCTTAGTCAGGCCTAAAGTCTCAGCTGCACAGCGTTTGCACAGCTTCTCCTCATTCCCACCCAGGAAAAGTGGATGTGTCACCTGTCACCAGGCTGCATTTCCAACCCTGCTGTTTAGCAAGTGCCACTGATGGCACAGAAACAAGAGAGCAACCTGGTCAGAGACAGGTGACACCCAACCCTTGGCAAACCCATCACACTCAGCAATGCCAGCCTCAACTCCACAACGACAAGGGTAAAAACGAGGCCACCTAAGGGAAAATGCTTGTCTTTGAAACCCTAAAAGTTTGTCTTTGAAACCCTCATTCTGCCATCCTTTACTCCTCATGGAAACCAGACTAAGCACAAAAGCTGCTTCAGGATTGTTGCCTCTGCAGCCCCTAAAATCAAGAGCCAAACAGGGTGAGGTGACAAAGTGCAGTTACATTTTGGATGAAGGGTTCCCTCCAGGTGCACAACGCCCCAAAATACTTGTGTCAAATACATGCCAAAAACGTGTCCAAAATGCCCTCGAGACATAGGGCAAGCACATTTTATAGGTTTAGCAAAGAAGCAAAATTGACAAGAATCTTCACTTAGAAAGACATGTAATGAAATAATTCTCCCTCTTGGTGCAACCCCTCTGAAGCCCCCCTGCTTGCTGGTTATGTCTTATTCCATGAAAAAGGTCTTGGGAAGGTGTCTTGCCCTTGATTCCCACAAGAAGCAAGACTAAAACAGGTCCTCAGGAATGTGACTGTCTAATAGGAAAAGTGCTGAAATTAGAAAACTCTATATCTGTATAACAACAGTCTACAGAGCTAGGAATATATGTGAAAAATATATAAAAGAAAAATAATTTTGGCATCAGGACCAACAAGACATAAGAACTGGTGGGATTATCTGCAACTGAGTGTCCTGCCAGGCCAACAGCATTTAACCAGATTCTTCCCCACCCAGTCTCTCTAATGACAAGAAACACCAAATTTGTAAAAATTTAGTACTTGGGATGTAGATATTTACACAGCAACACTACAAAATATTGTAATATATCCACAAAAACAAAACACCCAACAAAAACAAACAAAACCAACAAAAACAAAACAACAACCCCTAAAACTCTTCCATAGTTATTTTATGGAATGTTTTGAATAGATTGAAACACAACTGCAAAGTTGAATGAGTAACAGAAAGTACAGACAAATTACAATATCGACACTGAGCACACACCCCCTGGAGAATGGTTATTTGCTGGCTGGCATGCCCACTGCTCCCCCTCCTCCCCAGCCCAAGAGTGGGTGAGCAAACTGAGCACACAGTAATGTCTTTTGTGGTAACCTAGTAACCTTCTCCTTTTCCTCCCCAAGCTCTTCCTTCACACCACACTCTTCCTTACTGCCAGAATAATTGCACTGTGTCTTTACAAGGCTTTGTTTTCCTACCCAGTGCAGAGGAGCTGGGGTTATTTTCAGTCTTGGGAAGCTTGTAAACAGGATCAAACAGGAACCCGGTCATCAGCAAGAGGAAGGCTAGAAAAATAAAAGCAAATGCATATCAACAATTTTATTTTAAAAAGAAAATACATCCAAAACATGAAACAAAAGCCTGGGCTCTGCTAGACATCCCCCTCCCCACTCCTTTTTATTTAGTTCATGAACTCTTTTTTGCAGAACAGAGGCTGGTGTAAATTAATGTGTGACCCATCACGTATCACGTGGGAAAGCTGCCATAGAAATATGGAATGGCAAAAAGAAAAAAAAGTAGACATTATTAGAACTAAAGAAGCACCTCTTATCATGATAAATCAATACCCAGACTGAACTAGGAGACAGCTGTGACTCCATATTCCTGTTTCTCTGAGTGTTTGAGAAGCTCAAGTGCAGAGTGTCTGACATGCCTGCACAGCCAGCAGTGCCAGTGCTGGGAGCAAGGGCTCCTCTGCATTTGCTCCTGCTCTCAGCTGCCCCTCTGGGAGTGGCTGGGTCCCTCACACACCTACTCCATCACCTACACACTGTCCCGAGGCCCCTGAGTTGCACCTGCTCAGGGGACAGAGTGGCATCTCCCCAAGAACAGCCCAGGGCTTCAGGACTGCCCCAAGCCCACTGCCCCTCCACAGCTCAGGACCCCTGTGAGCTGCTCACACCTCTCTGGGCACTCCTGGGTGGCAGTCTGGGGTTTGGGTCACCCCAAGCCTGCAGCAGGGAGGGGGAAAAGCAGCACAAAGTGGCACAGGTAGGATGCTTAACAAAAATAAGCACAAGTGTGAGTTTGTGCTGTGATACCCTGTGCTCACACAGGCCAAGGTTCATCTCAGATGGGGAGTGCTTGTCCTTCTAGCCAAGCTTGGCATCCCTAAGTTTCATTACAGTGTATTATTATCAAGCCAGTCCAACCTAAACAATTTGTAGTATGAAAGAGATGTATGAATATCAACAGGAATTTCTTTTCTTTTTCAACTACAAAACACACACACAACCATGTAAATTTTACAATCAACATCCTTAATATATAAAACCAGGAGGTTTTTCCTACTGGTTTAACTTGACAGAATTACTTTTCCAGCCCTAGAGCTCAGAGAGCTCCAGGAAAAGCAGCAGCAGCATGCAAGACCCACCAAGATCAGGCTGGCGCATGAAGGTTGAGAAGCCAACCATCCCTGGCTCCCTGCTGAGCTCTGCATGCAGGCAGACTTGGTGAAGACAAACCTCCACTTCCTATATTATTTTTAAGCAACCAGATGAACAAACAGAAATGTGTCCTCTGTATATTTGGTATAGAAATTTCCTCAGTCATGAATTTCTGCTCTTATAAAGATAACTATCTCTAAAATCTGTGCTGAAGAAAGAGGGGGGAAAGTCATTCCTCAATGAAGTTATCAACATTTTATCCTACAAAGATAAGTTTTGTGGGACCTATTAGACTACCTGTTCACCAGCATCACAGAGAACTGAAATACACCAATTTCTTAACTCTTATTACTTGGTTATCAAAATAGCCATTCATTAACTAAATAGCATCATATAAAACCAATCCTTTGTCCTCCTTCCCTGACCCACACATTACCAATACAGCAGCTGAGAAAAGAGCAAGCCCCACTCAATTCACCCCTAATTAGGATGAAACCCCAGGACAAAACAGGTCACAGGACAATCACAACAAGCAACACTTGCTTGCAGAATATTCCCCATTATGTTTTTAGCCTTTCCCAGCAACCTGGAACCGAGTGCTACCCCTGACCTCCTCATGTCAGCAGAGTACAAGGAAATAGTACCACTCATTTTGCTCATTCTCTTGTTTGCTGCCACCTGCTTTGACCAGCGATACTTGCTTGTCCTTGTCCTGTCTCCTCCCTTAACAAACTCTTTACAAAACTTAGGATTTTCCATGACCATAGGTATTTCTAGGTTTTTGACCGCACATATTTCTCTGTACTTAGAAGTCACCTTGCACAATCTGGGCAGGCACAGGTACGAAATTTAAAAAAAAAAAAAATGCCGTAACATCAACAACCACCACCACCTGACTTTCAATCTCAGTTGTATTTGGGTTAGTTTACAACTAACTAACACAAAAAAACTTAAGAGAAAAAAAGGAAAAAAAGAGAGGAAAAAAACCCCAAAAAGCAATAAAACCTACTGACTTTGCTCTTACAGCCCAGCCACAGGAACAGGTTTGTGATCCCCAGTTTATTCCCATACAGAATTAAGCATTTTCTTCCTGGTAATTTTATCTACATACAACTTTCTAGCTGGTGTCAAGTAGCTTCAAAAGGGGTTTTTTTATGACTGTAAGAAAAGACAAAGGAAAACTCAGGCTAACAACTGCCTACAAGCTTTGAACGGAATGAGATGATATTTTTTTCAGGAGCAGAGCTGGAAATATCTGTATGGAAAAACACCCTTTGAAAAAAGTCAGATTCACTTGGACTAAGCAAACTTTAGTTAATTAGTTGAAGTAAAAATAAAAATGTGTTTTTAAAGATAAAAACTCACCTAATTCAACTGTTTATTAACAATGCAATGAAGCAATCACCAAACATTAACAGGGACTGCTGAAATTATGATTCTTGGATACAGCCTTGAGTGGAGAGGCAGAACCAGTAGAAAAAAGAGCCTGCTGCCACGTGAAATAACCTAGAGCCTGCTCTGCAATTCAACTCACTTTCATATTTACTGCAGTTTCCATAGGATGGGACCTAAGAAAAATTCTGCTTTTAAACTATTTCTTTGACTCTCTCTCTATTTCCATAACTGGTCCTACAATATTTTTGTTTCTACAGCAACATGGTTGGGAGTCACTATTTGGTAGGACTGGGAGTGCCCCATTGCAGAGGCAGGCAACAGCTCCATGTACAGGAATTAAAGTAACCCTTTCCAAAAACTCCTAATAGGAGAAAATCTTAGGTATAAAAATCCTGAACTGCAGCACACACCCTTACAAGACTTTTACAATATTAGAGAAAGTGATACATGACATAGAATATAATAGCTCCTAGAGTCAGTTTGATGTGTTGTATTATATTTATATTGTAAATATAAATTAATTATACCTGATTTGTATTATGTTTGTATTATATTCATATTTAAATAAAGTATTTTTATTTAAATGTTGTCCAAATTTTAATAGGGGTGAAATCACAGCAACAGCCTTGAGTAGACCAAAATGCTGCCTCTGACCACAATTCCATCTCCACACAGCCCTGCCTGAAAAAGCTTCCACTGTCTGCAAGTTCCATTGTTCCTGTGCTGTTTTTTATTGAGGCCACCAGGAAGATGACACAGAGTGACAAACACTGTGGTGACTTTTCTCTGATGATGACATTAGCTTGGGTCATATTTTTAGGAAGCAAAGAGAGCAAAAGCCCCAAAAATTACTCTAGCAATTACTCTGCTGGATATTTCTCAGGGATAAAAATAAAATTTAAAAAGCAAAGCCCCAGCCCAGCACACGTTTTGCACAGAAACTGCAGCATTTTCCAGCAACTGTGACTCACAGCTCACCACATTTCACCTGGTGGTTAAAACTCCACTCAGCTGTGCATTACAGAGAGTGAGAGAAACAGGGAAACATGAGGTTTTGTGCATCCACTTTCATTTTCACAACAACTCCTCGAGGCTTACAGCTGTTAGTTTTTAACTCCTCAGCTCTTAAATCTGCCTATTAAAGCTTGAGATGAATTAGTCAAGTGCTATAGAGAAAACTCTGTTGATGCAACTCCTGCAGGTGAGATCTTCAGTATCTAGGAAATTATTCTTCACTCTTAAAAAACAGAATGCATAAAAGAAAAAAGCATAAATGCTTTTGAAAATCTGCTGTCTTCAGAGAACCTCCCAATTTCAAACACTGATTTCTCATTTCACAAGCCAAAAATCCAATCCACATTATGGCCCTTCAGAAGAGTGGTTTTGACATGCCCTAGGAAGAGTCACAGGCTGGCTCTGGATGTTTTTCCCACTCCAAAGCAGTGAAAACTATTCTAAACAGAGTGGGCTTGAGGGTTGTTTTAGGGTTGAGGTTTTTTGGTTGTTGTTTTGTTATTTTTTCATTGTTATTTGTTATTAATTTATATTGTTTTGTTGTTTTGGTTGTTTATTTTGTTATTTTATTTGTTTCAAATAATTTTTGTTCTAGAAAAATATCAGGTGGCTTGTGCAAGACTACCTCCTCAGTACCTACCTGTTCCTGTAAGAGCAAAGTCAGTAGGTTTTATTGCTTTTTTAGGTTTTTTCCCTCTTTTTTTCTTTTTTTTCTCTCCAGTTTTTTTTTTTAATCTATTTGCCAAGCAGAGTCATTTATCCCCTATTAGATAAAGTATAATAGACTGTACCAAAAGGGTCACTGGCCTTCCATTTAATGATATTGCCAGCACCAATCTCCATTTTCCCGACAGTGTCCCTCAACACAGAATAAATGGCTGATCTCTTCACAATAACAGCTGATTTCTCTTTATTAAGCTAAAAAGGTCACCATTTTCTACGGCTGGGCCGCCCTGCACTATTGATAATTTTATGCATAAACAAATGGCAAATTTGTGCCACATAAATATGCATTAGCAATTACTTTTTCCTCGGGCAACGCTCGCCGCATGCAAATGTGTCCCTCACAGGGCCTGGTGGCTTTTGTTTTAGCTCTTGAACAGCCAAACAAAAGAGCACAATAAACAGTTTAAAAATTGCCAATCAATAGGAAATGCAAATGCAAAGGTAAATGGCAGGAAACTTGCCCAAACAAATAGAACTAAATTTAAAAAAAAAATAAAAAAAAGCACCAAACAAAAATCATGCAAAGAAATACAGAAATAAATGGAAAGGAGTCTCTTTTCTCCCCACTCTTTATCTACAACTCTGTTTTATTTCTTTTTGATAGAGACATGGCTGAGGTACTCTTTGCACTGAACCCACATGGAAGCACCTAAAATGTCCACATGGGCTGGGGATGTTTTAGGCTGGCAGGCAAAGGAGGCAAAAGAAGGATGTCTGCAAAAATTCATTGGGGATCCATGGCTTAGCTTTTCCTGGTGTAAATT